GGCTTCTACAAATGGATAATGATCCTACACACACCTCGAAATCCACAGGGGATTACATCAAGAGGTGTAAACTGAAGGTTTTGCCATGGCCTTCACAATCTCCTGACCTCAACATAATTGAAAATCTATGGATAGACCTTAAAAGAGCAGTGCGTGACAGACAGCCCAGAAATCTCAAAGAACTGGAAGACTTTTGTAAGGATGAATGGGCAAAGTTACCTCAAACAAGAATTGAAAGACTCTTGGCTGGCTACAAAAAGCGTTTACAAGCTGTGATACTTGCCAAAGGGGGCAGTACAAGATATTAACTCTGCAGGGTGCCCAAACTTTTGCAGATGCCATTTTTTTGTTTTCTGTTATTTTGAAAGTGTAAATGATGGAAATAAAATCTAACTTTTGTTGACATATTATAAGAATGTCTAATCTGTAATTTGATGCCTTTTGGAGATTTTTCCATCTTTCCTTGGCTTCTTTATGCACATTAATACAAATTTTTAGCTGGGGTGCCCAAACTTTCGATCCCCACTGTAGCTGGAGAACTACTCAAATTCTTGTATTTCATGTTTTTTCGCATGGTTACTGTGAAATTGTGTAAATGCATCAATGTAGTGCATGTTATCTCAACTTGCAGAGCTTGGATTTATTGAATGAGTTTACCAAAAACTTAACAAGTGCAGAATATACAGCCTTATGCTACATAACTACACAAGCTCCATTTCATGCTGAATAAACTAAATTATTAATATATCTTAAATAGAAAACTATCTTTATAGATTTTTACTCCAAAAGCATTTTATTAAAATAAATTTAAGCGGTTCCCACCCGGCCAACAGCACAAAGGCAGCCGGCAAAACACCTTGTCCCTCTAGGTGGACGCCATACTGCATCCTTTCAGGCATGCGCAGTATGCCTGCCCGCAGGGCCACTCTGTGGCGCGATCTGTCACCGGCCGTGTACCTCAGATACGGCCGATGACAGATCTGTGTACTGACCCTGTTTCCAGTACCATGTGACTTGCTGTGACCAATCACAGCAGGTCACATGACAGTTGTATACAATGGATGGCTTCCTTTCATGCCATCCATTTAATACAAGTGTGTCTAGCTGTGAATGGTCACAGCGATCACATGCACAAGCTGGGCCAATCACAGCCCAGCTGTGTCATGTGATTAGCCATGGCCAAATCACAGCTAAGAACGAAAAAAAAAACCCTGAATGAATCGATGTCATTCAGGAAATTGCTTGCTTATAGCAAAGTAATTCTTTGCTATAAGCAAATTGTGTACAAAAAAATACTGATCACTTCCCCAAAGTAGTACAATGTTACTATGGTAACATTATACGACTTTGGTCATAGTGAAATATGTAATAAAAATTATAAAAAAATTAAAAAAAATGATCACATTTTTTTTTCGTACTGTCACCAGTCAGTGTCCCTGATCACCACCATGCCAGTTATATGACGACGCTGTACTGCACTGGTGACAGTATGTAAAAAAAAAAAAAATAGTGAAAATAATTTTTAAAATTTTTTCATTTTCTTAAAAATAACAAAAAAAAATACAACTTCAACAAACTCGCCATGCCTCTTATGAAATATGTCGGACTGTCTACTTTGCAAAAAGTGGGATATCTGTACTGTTCTGACATTCTTGGACCTCAAGAAATTAGATTGGCCGTCAGTACTTCAGGATTGATCAATATTCAGATCTATACCATAGTTTGTGAACTCTATAACTTTCCTACAAACTAAAAAATACATCCTAATTTGGGTTACTTTCACCAAAGACATGTAGTAGAACACATCTTGGCCTAAATTTATGAAGAAAAATTATTTATTTGCAAACTTTTATAACAGAAACAAAGAAAACGTGTTTTTTTTTTTTTTCAAATTGTTTTTGTTAATTTAGCAAAAAATAAAAACCCCAGTGGTGATTAAATACCACCAAGAGAAAGCTCTAATTGCGCGGTCATACAACACTGTACCCAAACTAAAATTTTATCATTTTCTTCACACAACTGTGTGAAGAAAATTATAACATTTTAGTTTGGGTACAGTGTTGTATGACCGTGCAATTGTTATTCAAAGTGTGAGAGCGCTGAAATCTGAAAAATGGCCTGGGCAGGAAGGGGGTAAAAGTGCCCTGTATGGAAACGGTTAATTAAAAAACAAACAAATCAGATTTAAATTTTTAAAAACTAGATTTTATATTTTTTTTAAAAATCAATTTTTATCCACCCTGCTTTAACTGAGGCCATTTCCCAGCTTCAAAAAGAAGAGGATACTTTACATACAATATGAAGGAAAACATATGAGCCAGTTACCTCACAAACGATAGACTTCAAGGCTAAAAAGGGAATATAAATTATCGACTTATTCAAAGACTATGGTTGTAACGATTGTGCGCAATAGAGATATGGAAGCTGTACGCGACAGCTATCTTGTGAGGGTCTCATGAGCAGTGTTCCTAACAAACCCTCCCTTTGCAAACCATGGAATTTGTAGCTGTAACTTTTAACAAACTTCAAAAGAACCTCTTCTATTAATTAAAACACAGAGCTGGCCAGGCTGTAAACAGCTAATTAGTCTTGACAGGATGTCCATTTCCACTAACCATGGAAAACACTTTCCTCTGCCCTGTCATAAAACAATAATAACTCCGTCAAGCCATCACACATGACCTTTAAGGCCATTAAGTCTCTAGGAAGGCAGAGCGTGCCATAGAATGTCAATTCCACATGTAACAATTCCACATACAATTCATAGAATTCAACAGGAACAGGGCACATTAATATTAGGTATATATTTGAATAGGGAATATTATACCGAACAAATCAAGGCCATACATGACTATGTTAGCACATAAGAAAGGGAAGAAAGCAGTTTCCTCCCTCCAGGATGACAAAGGTATGTTGTGTTTGGTATTCCTGAATAATAATCTGCCAGTTGGAAAAACACCACTGGCACATATTGGAAGTTGTTCATATTAGTATAAAACTGCAGTTAGGACTTGGGCATAAACTGTGTGACCTCCTAGCACCCATCCCCTAAACCAAATGATTGGTCAGTTATTCTCGGTCGACACCCCTTTAATATCATAGAAAAGGGACGGACATGATCTTGTATGGAGCTCTCGTTTAATATCAACCAAGGAACATCTTTACGGACTTGAGAGCCACAGCAACATTTTTTTCGTGAACAATTAGACTCTTCTAAAACCAGGACTTTGAAAGTATTCTGCCTTCTTAACTCCTTTTTTTCCTATTTCTCTGTTGCTTTATTGTTCTCTTTATTTCTTTGTAACATCCCTTTCTGTAAATACACGGTTCAAAAAATTAAAGGAACACTTTTTAATCAGAGTATAGCATCAAGTCAATTAAACTCCTGGGGTATTGATCTGGTCAGTTAAGTAGCAGAGGGGGTTGTTAATTTTATTAACACCAAAGCAGCTGAAACTGATTAACAACAGGTGCACCATATGGGCAACAATGAGACAACCCCCAAAACAGGAATGGTTTTACAGGTGGAGGCCACTGACATTTTTTTCCCTAGTTTTGCATTTGGCTAGGGTTAGTGTCACTACTGGTAGCATGAGGCAATACATGGACCCTACAGAGGTTGCACAGGCAGTCCAACTCCTCTAGGATGGCACATCAATACGTGCCATTGCCAGAAGGTTTGCTGAGGCTCTCAAGAGGCATGAAGGAGATTCCAGGAGACAGGCAGTTACTCAAGGAAAGCTAAACAGGGCCGTAGAAAGTACGTAACCCATCAGCAGGACCGGTATCCGCTCCTTTGTACAAGGAGGAACAGGATGAGCACTGCCAGAGCCCTACAAAATAGCTTCCAGCAGGCCACTGGTGTGAATGCCTCTTACCAAACCATTAGAAACAGAGTTCATGAGGGTGGCCTCTAGTAGGCCCTGTGCTCACTACCCAGCACCATAGAGCTTGATTGGCATTTGCCAGTGAGCACCAGAATTGGCAGGTCCACCACTGGCGCCCTCTGCTGTTCACAGATGAGAGCAGGTTCACCCTGAGCACGTGACAGACGTGTAAGGGTCTGGAGAAGCCATGGAGAATGTTATGCTGCCTGTAACTTCGTTCAGCATGACCGTTTTGGTGGTGGGTCAGTGATGGTCTGGGAAGGAATATCCTTGGAGGGCCGCAGACCTCTACAGGCTAGAGAATGGCACCCTGACTGCCATTAGGTATCGGGATGAAATCCTTGGACCCACTGTCAGACACTACGCTGGTGCAGTGGGTCCTGAGTTCCTTCTGGTACACAATGCCTGGCCTCATGTGGCGAGAGTATGCAGGCAGTTCCTGGAGGATGAAGGAATTGATACCATTGAATGGCCCTCATGCTCGCCTGACCTAAATTCAATAGAACACCTCTGGGATATCATGTTTCGGTCCATCTGACGCTGCCAGTTGCACCTCAGACTGTCCAGGAGCTCAGTGATGCCCTGGTCCAGATCTGGGAGGAAATACCCCAGGGCACCATCTGTCGTCTGATTAGTTGCATGCCCAAATGTTGTCAGGCATACATACAAGCTCGTGGGGGCCATAGAAACTACTAAGTAGCATTTGGAGTTGCTGCAATAAAATTTCAGCAAAATGGACTAGCCTGCTGCATCATTTTTTTCACTTTGATTTTCGGGGTTTCTTTGAATTCAGTCCTCTGTAGGCTGATAATTTTCATTTCCATTAAATGATGGGGCATCCTTACATTCCTAACACATTACCCAGTCCATATCAGTATAGATATCTGGCATTATATTTTCCCCCATTGAGTTCTAATGTGTTTTCAAAGTGTTCATTTACCGTATTTGCCGGCGTATAAGACGACTGGGCATATAAGACGACCCCCTACTTTTCCTGTTAAAATACAGGGTTTGAGCTATACTCACCGTATAAGACTACCCCTCTTCCAACACACACCAAATAAAAATGAAAAAACATCAGATTTGATTTCAATATGGTATGGTATTTCAGTATGGTATTCCAATGATGGGGTGCTATTCCTCCCACTGACACCAATGATGAGGCACTACTCCTCCCACTGACACCAATGATGGGGCGCTATTTCATCCACTGACACCAATGATGGGGCGCTATTCCTCCCACTGATAGCAATGATGGGGCGCTATTCCTCCCACTGATAGCAATGATGGGGCGCTATTCCTCCCACTGATACCAATGATGGGGGGCGCTATTCCTCCCACTGATAGCAATGATGGGGCGCTATTCCTCCCACTGATAGCAATGATGGGGCGCTATTCCTCCCACTGATAGCAATGATGGGGCGCTATTCCTCCCACTGACACCAATGATGGTGCGCCATCATTAGTGTCAGTGTGTGAGGAATAGTGTCCCATCGTTAGTGTCAGTGGGAGGAATAGCGCCCCATCGTTGGTGTCAGTGGGGAGGAGGAATAGCGCCCCATCCTTGGTGTCAGTGGGGAGGAGGAATAGCGCCCCATCCTTGGTGTCAGTGGGGAGGAGGAATAGCGCCCCATCCTTGGTGTCAGTGGGGAGGAGGAATAGCGCCCCATCCTTGGTGTCAGTGGGGAGGAGGAATAGCGCCCCATCCTTGGTGTCAGTGGGGAGGAGGAATAGCGCCCCATCCTTGGTGTCAGTGGGGAGGAGGAATAGCGCCCCATCCTTGGTGTCAGTGGGGAGGAGGAATAGCGCCCCATCTTGGTGTCAGTGGGGAGGAGGAATAGCGCCCCATCGTTGGTGTCAGTGGGGAGGAGGAATAGCGCCCCATCGTTGGTGTCAGTGGGGAGGAGGAATAGCGCCCCATCCTTGGTGTCAGTGGGGAGGAGGAATAGCGCCCCATCCTTGGTGTCAGTGGGGAGGAGGAATAGCGCCCCATCCTTGGTGTCAGTGGGGAGGAGGAATAGCGCCCCATCCTTGGTGTCAGTGGGGAGGAGGAATAGCGCCCCATCCTTGGTGTCAGTGGGGAGGAGGAATAGCGCCCCATCTTGGTGTCAGTGGGGAGGAGGAATAGCGCCCCATCCTTGGTGTCAGTGGGGAGGAGGAATAGCGCCCCATCCTTGGTGTCAGTGGGGAGGAGGAATAGCGCCCCATCCTTGGTGTCAGTGGGGAGGAGGAATAGCGCCCCATCCTTGGTGTCAGTGGGGAGGAGGAATAGCGCCCCATCCTTGGTGTCAGTGGGGAGGAGGAATAGCGCCCCATCCTTGGTGTCAGTGGGGAGGAGGAATAGCGCCCCATCCTTGGTGTCAGTGGGGAGGAGGAATAGCGCCCCATCCTTGGTGTCAGTGGGGGAGGAATAGCGCCCCATCGTTGGTGTCAGTGGGGGGAGGAGGAATAGCGCCCCATCGAATAGCGCCCCATGGTGTCAGTGGGGAGGAGGAATAGCGCCCCATCGTTAGTGTCAGTGGGGAGGAGGAATAGCGCCCCATCGTTAGTGTCAGTGGGGAGGAGGAATAGCGCCCCATCGTTAGTGTCAGTGGGGAGGAGGAATAGTGCCCCATCGTTAGTGTCAGTGGGGAGGAGGAATAGTGCCCCATCGTTAGTGTCAGTGGGGGGGAGGAATAGTGCCCCATCGTTAGTGTCAGTGGGGGGAGGAATAGTGCCCCATCGTTGGTGTCAGTGGGGGGGGAGGAATAGTGCCCCATCGTTAGTGTCAGTGGGGGGGGGAGAGGAGCGGCTGCTCCTTCTTTCAGTTCGGCCGCTTGATTTTCGCGGGGCCGTTCGGCTCCGCCTCCTCGCCGGTGATTGGTCGCCTGTGTGCCTTTCCAGTGCTGGCGCCCAATCACCGGTGAGGAGGCGGAGTCGAGCGGGCAGCGGGACCATCGAGCGGCCGAACTGAAAGAAGGAGCAGCCGCGCTTCCTGGACCGGTTCGTCATGGGACCGGAGCCAGGTAAGGTACAGCAGCCCCTCTGCCCACCCCTGTACTTGGTGTCTGTTGGAGGAGGAGGGGGGGTGGCGCCGCCCCTCGAAAAAGTGCCGCCCTGACACCGGCTCGCCGTATACCGGCGTATAAGACGACCCCCGACTTTTCAAAAGATTTTCACGGGTTGAAAAGTCGTCTTATACGCCGGCAAATACGGTAATTTTTTTGAGCAGTGTATTTTAATTGCACCATTTGACCTTTTCATTAATAAACCCTATTTAAGTGTTAAAATGATCTTTAAGGTTTTTAATGCAAGCTAAAGAATCCCTTTCTCTTGAAGTGTGCTACTGTATATGATAATCCTCTGAATAGGCTTGTCTGTGGTGACAGTGTGTGTTACAGACATTTATTATTCACATTTGTTCTTGCTAACATTGTGAAGGGTTGATAGTCCTTAAGCTATTTGGCGGCAGTTTGAAGGGTTAACTGCTTAACCACTTGCCTACCAGGCACTTATACCCCCTTATTTACCAGGCCAATTTTCAGCTTTCAGCGCTGCCGCACTTTGATTGACAATTGCGCGGTCATGCAACATTGTACCCAAATGAAATTTTGATAATTTTTTTCTCACAAATAGAGCTTTCTTTTGGTGGTATTTAATCGCCACTGGGCGCTTTACTTTTTGCCCTATAAATAAAAAAGGTGCAAAAAATGTGAAAAAAAAAAAAAAGTTTCTTTGTTTCTATTATAAAATTTTTCAAACAGGTAATTTTTCTCCTTCACTGATGTGCGTTGATGAGGCAGCACTGATGGGCACTGATAGGCGGCACTGATGGGCACTGATAGGCAGCACTAAAGGGCACTGATAGGCAGTACTAATGAGGTGGCACGGATAGGCGGCACTGATAGACAGCACTAATGAGGTGTCACGGATAGGCGGCACTAATATGCAGCACTGATAGGCGGCACTGATAGGTGACACTGATGATGGGTACTGATAGACGGCACTGATAGGTGACACTGATGATGGGTACTGATAGACGGCACTGACTGGCATCACTGCTGGGCACTGACTGGCGGCACTGACTGGCACAACCGCTGGGCACTGACTGGTGGCACTGACTGGCAGCACTGCTGGGCTGCACTGGTGGGTGGCACTGGTGGGCAGCACTGGTGGGTGGCACAGGGGTGGCACAGGTAGGTAGGTGGCACTTCTGGGCACAGGTGTGTGACACTGCAGAGTGGCACAGGTGGATGCACTGCTGGGCACAGGTGGGCGGAACTTGCGGGTGGCACTGCTGGGCACCGATCATCAGGGCACTGATCATCAGTGCCCTGATGATCGGTGCCGATCCTCGCTCTGACAACTGCGGTTCTCGGCAGTACTTTCCTCACGATCTGACAGCGTGAGGAAAGTGCAGCCGAGAACCGACACTTGCATTTCCCTCTGATCAGCGTGTCATTGGACACCGCTGATCAGGTGGTAAAAGGCCACTGTGACTGGCCTTTTACCACATCACGTGATCAGCTGTGTCCGTAGGACACAGCGATCACGGAGATCGCCGGGTGCGCGCCCCCTGGGGCGCGCAGGAGAGCGCATTCTGGTGGGACGTCATATGACGTCCACTCAGAACTGGCCGGCCGCAGTGCAGCCGTCATTCGGCTATCTGCGGTCGGCTACTAGTTAATTAATTAACCCAGTAATAATCGCTCTCAGGCTGCTGGCACATAGATTGCGGTCCCAGGAGCTGGAAAATCTTTGTGCAGATGAGGATGGTATTGTTACGCAAGTGACAGCACAGTGTGAGATTGGTTGGTCCTTTGTCACAAGTTGGTGAGAAGGGCAAGGGTCGAGCGCCACATTCGTCACAATGGTGCCTTAAGTAGTATAGATTGGCCACACAATTACAAATTAATGTATACCTCTTCCAAGGGATCGTATCTCCGTGATACAAGAGACGTGTGCAATGTCTGAGATGTTGCCTTTTGTGCGCTCCATGCCAGGGGGAAGGGGACTCCACTCCGTATATATCCCCCAAAATTTGTGCGAACCTGGCTGTTATTCCCAACGCCAATACCAGCAGTGGGTGTAACAAAAAAGCCTTACTATAAACCAAAAAATTGGATAGCAACCTTTAACCATTACTTCAAGGCACAGCACTTCCATGCCAGCATGTCCCCTACATGCATTTATGGATGCTTTTTTAGAGCGCCATTAAATGAGCATAACCCAAAGATTATGCCCCCTTCCCCACCCACTTACTGTGCGCTAAGAACTAAGGGATAACATAATGTACAGGCATTCCTGAATTCATATCCTGGAGTAGATTACTAGAAGAAACCAGCTACCCGCATAAAATAAATCAGTTCTGCAGCTAGAGATGGATCCACTGAAGGCAATTTATTACCACAGGGTTCCGATCAGTAAAAACTGTTGGTTACTGCTGTGTTGTACTTTGATGGCTACAGTTCAGATTTAAATAAAACCTCTCTTTACAAAAAACAAAGTGAATTGGTTGCATGAATGAAATATAGCCACCCAGCACAGTCTAAGATGCAAATATCAAGTTATGGGAGGAAAATCTAGCTTTGGCATTACCCCCTCAAATCTCACTATTGGCTCTAAAAATGGACAGCCTCAGCGATCAATAATGAGACTTGAGAAGTTGGTAGAAAGCAGGTTAGCATTTAAACTTTTCTTCCTCAAGTACAACCCTGGCCAAAAATTTTGAGAATGACACAAATATCAATTTTCATAAAGTCTGCTGCTTCAGTGCTTTTAGATCTTTTTGTCAGATGTTACTATGGTATACTGAATTATAATTACAAGCATTTCAGAAGTGTCAGAGGCTTTAAATGACAATTACATTACAGGCTAAGTTCACTTTTTTTTCTAATAAAATCCAGCTCCTCTATGCACCAATAACATAGCTCAGTTGCAAAAATATTCAAGCTCTCTTTTATCTGGAGAGCAAGGTCTTACTTTAGGCCTTGGTAAACTTCTTAGAAAGCTTTTTCAATTCCTGGAATGAAGACAGAGAAGCCAGTAGGACCCTGGAAAGCAGATAACCAGCTGATCTCATTAGCACACACATCCTGCACTGACCTCATTAGTACACACCCATCAACTATTTTTCACAGCATTCCCAGGATCTCTCCCCACGTGCATTTGCCTGGCTACCCCAGCATCCCTTCAGACGGGCTCAGACCGCATGCAGCCCACAGGACACCCCTGATGTAATGCAAGGGCCTGCTTGATTGGATATAGTGATTGGATAGATGTTGTGTCCTCCTATTATATAGTTTTGGTAAATCTAAAGGAGATTGTACAATCAGATTGTATAGTGTATGGCCACATTTATACACCTAAACTTAACTAGTTGCGCTTGCAGTGTCATTAATTGTTAACGGCACACCAAACACAGAAAAAAGCACACATTTGGCTACATGAAAAAAAAGGGTGACAAATGCAGAAAAAAACATGCAGTAAAAAATGTGCAGCTCGCATCACGCCAAAATGTCCCATGAGGTACTTTGCCACGTGTAGCGCAGCCCATTGCTTTCAATGGGCTGCCCTATGTGTGTCACTGGAAATAAAAGCCAAAAAATATGCGCTCAGTCTGCTCTCAGTGTGATTGGGGCCTGAAACTGAAATTGGTGAGTTTACACAGAACAAAGAGACTCCATTTACATGTGTGTTTCCAAACACATGGCAATCTACACAGAAAATGCACGCTTTGCCATGCGTATCAGAAACACACTGCAAATGTGCATTGTGTTTGTGTTGTCATT